TTTAAAATGCCAAACTTAATGCTGCCAAGCTAAGGCATCATAAATTAATATAGGACAAATAATTGTTTTCCTCCTAAAATCCACCATAACCTTTTGAGACTTTGGTATTAGGAGACGGGCTTAACCCTTGACACCACTGTTTTATGATGAACTCTCTAACAGCGTGATGAAGGCAAATTTTGTTTGGAATGTTCCCTCTAACCTTTTGTGTTACCATTTTTCTGTTTTTGCCTTTTGCTTTCCCATTAGAGCACTGTTCATTTTTACTATTGATTTGGTTTTCTCAGGGAAAGTTACTTTCCTGTTTCTTTTTGTATAAAAGTAATATATACCCATTGTAAAGAAAAACCATCTACATTATATGTCACTACTGTTAATATCATCCCTGATCTCCACATTTACTCTGAGAGGCAGAGAAGGAGCTGTTACCATCTCCACCCCACTGATGACAAAGATGATGCTGACTACTAAGGTTTATTAGGCATCTACATGTCCGACACTGTTCTGAATGTTTTACTCTCGCTTAACTCAGCTTTATTTTTCCTTTCAGCACTTATACCTGCTGTACTACACATTTATTTGTTTACTGTCTGTTTCTCCTCACTAGAATACAAATGCCTTGAGAGGAAGTATATGGTCTGCTTTTATTCACAGCTATGTCCCCAGGACATCTAAAAGTACATGGCACAGTAGCAGGCATTCAAAAAAAGTTTGTTGAATAAATAATCTTTGTAACAATGTCAGTGGGCCTCATCCAATCTGCTGAGGGTCTGAGGTTTGAAGAAAACAAAAGGGCTGAGTAAGAGAAAGTGCTCTCTCTGCCTTACTGTGTTTGAGGTGAGACATGGTCTTTTTGTGCTTTGGACTTGAACTCAGGCTAGAACCTACACCATTGGCTCTCCTGGTTCTTTCTTAGGCCGTTGGACTTGTATTGGAACTATAACCTGGCTCTCCAGCTTGTTGAATGTATCCATCTCTCCCTCTCTCTCTCTCTGCATGTGTGTATATATCTATATATCTATATATGGTATAGGTATTTATGTAATATATAAATATATTTCCATCCCATTGGTTCTGGAGAACACAGACTAATAAAGATGCCCAGATTGGCTAAGTAATCTGAAATTCAAATACAAGTTTGCTGTCTGCCAGCCCATGATTTTTGTTTCTTAAAACACAGTGCTCTGTTTTCTTAACCTTACTTTGGTTCTCTTTCAAAATTAAACTCAAAAGAAGTTAAGTAGTGGACTAGACTCAGAATGTGAGTCTGAGGATCTTGGTTTACCCTTTTATTTTTCAGCTCAGTGAGTTCCATCTGTTAGATCATTTAAATCAACATTTCTAAGAAGTCAGGTTGCCACTGAGCGCACGTTCAGTTTTTCACCTATGCTTTTGTTAAAGAAACTAATGACGTTGACAAAAAAGTGTAAGTGAGCAGGTGATAAACTGTGTAAGTGCTTTGTGTTGTTAGGGAGGCATTAATATTTAGAGATTTTTGTTAGAAAATGGTTTCCCAAAAGTATGGCACAGACATAAAATGACAGTAAAGGGCATGGGCTCGGGACCTGGACTTGAGCTCCCACTCCACTTACTACCTGCTGAATAACCTGGGGCAAGCCTCTCTGAGCCTTAGCTCCCTTTTCTGTAAAATGGGGAAAATGACAGAAACTACCTCATAGAGATACTGAGATTACATGAGATAATGCAAGTAACGTGCTTAGCAAAAGAACTAGCACATACATAATAAGCATGCATACATGTTAGCTACTCGGATAGGCATGGCTAGTTACCCACAAATACCTCCCCTTCTCTCTCAAATGAACAGACTCCCCAATTTGTAACTGGTTAGCAAAGAGCTGGTCAGCCAACAGACTCTGATTCCAGGCTTGCATGCAGCCCGGTGGAACCATATTCTAAGTTCCGGCCAATGGGGCATAGCTGAAAGTGCTAATGAGACTTTCAGTAGGTCTCCTTCAGAGACGGGCGACCTGCCCCCCTTTCTCTTCTCCACTTCAGGAATGCAGATGTCCTGGCTGGAGCTCTAGGAACCAACTTGAATTATAAGGACAAAGGTCACAACTAGGTTGCTCTTAACAGTGGATCAGGAGGAGCCTGATTTTGGATGGCTTTATGGAGCCTCCATACCAGCCCTGGGCTGCCAATCTCTGAACTTCCTTTATGTGAGAGAAACTATAAATCTCTGTTTTGTTTATGTTATTATTTGGAGTTCCTGGCACTCAAAGCCCAACTAATCCTAACTGCTGTAGATGGCCCTTATGGTCTTAGAGTCCAAGTGGATGCTTTAAACCATAATGAGGCTGTTTCTGCAAATAAGGGAAAGGTTGAGGAAGAAATATAGAAAACGCTTCCTCCTCTTCCAAATGGCACTCTGATGTCACCATCCTCTCTTCCCCACTCAGAAGTCCAGGCCTTTATGCCTGATGCACAAAACCTGTACTCAACAGATCTGAAAAACTTGGTTCATACAAAGGTATAAGAATCTCTTCTTATTATTCCCGGGTGTTTATATTTTATTTAAGGGAAAGTTTTCTGGTATGTTTGGAATAATCAACAGGCCTATGGGAGAAATATTTTTGGGAAAAGAAGTCCACACGAAAGGCTGCTGCCCACCAGTAAGGTTGACTATAATTTAATACAAAGCTCTCCACTGGTATAAGGAAGTTCATGTACTCAGAATGTTTACTTTCAACTCCCAAGGAGTATCCAGGACTGAGAGAAAGGAAGGAGTGAATATCTGTCTGAAAAGGCAATTAAATAGCATTCTCAATTCCCTGAAGCTACTTACTTTATACCTGTTATTTCAGTAATCATTATTACATCATCACTTGTACAACATTCTATGCGTGATGCAACTCAGAAGGTTATTTGTTTATGACAAGTCAGTGGCTGAATAAGAAATCTAAACTACATTCTCTCAACTTCTGGTTCACTGTTCAAATTACTCCTTACCTTTTCTAGTTTTCTGAATATAGACTGAATATGTATAATGGACATATTTCATTTGAATAAGATGGAATTTGTATTACCTGAACTTAAAGGATAAGAGAAACCAAAGGTCATCTTTCAGTGTAAAAGGTGTGTGTGTGTGTAATATGAAGGTGCTTTTCCTGCAAAATATGACCTCTGACCTCAGCTGAGCATGCTGTCTGGTTAAAGTAGGATTTTTTCCCCAAGAACTCAAAGGGCTCTACAGACTAATTAAAAACTCATTGTTTGTCTCTTCTACCCTTTAATTCCTCAGCTGATTCTGAGAGGTTAAATGATTCTGACAGGGTTATTCAAACTCTGGTGGTCATTTCTGGAGCCTGGCTCCTTCAGGAATTCAGACTAATACTGATGAGAGTGTTGAGGAGATGTCAGCTTACTTGATTCACCTATATGTACGGTCTGCTAAATGTCTAAGTGCATTTAATAGCTGAATCCAGGAAAAATTTCACTATACACATCTCTCACTGACATTAAACTTTCATAACATTCTACTGACTTCTCATAGTCAACGATCAAGTTTATCTTTGCCACAATTGTTTTGGCTAGTACGACTAGTTTCAGACCCTAATCAACAGGCTCTTGTCTCTGATGCCATGACAACCATCAGATTTATTTTTAAACAATGCTCAAGCAAAGGGAACCACAAGGAAAATGCCATGAAGCCCTCATCTTAAAATAGGTCAATGGAAGATGACCTTTCTTTTCTGGAAGTCTCAGAGGCACAATGCTATTTAACTTTTAAATTCTAAATCCAGGATTTCTAGAAATGGTTGATAACTTAGGTTATCAAAAATTAATAAATCACAGGCTAATAAATGGCCTTTATCATCAAAAATTCTACTTCATTAGGTATTTTTTTAAACATGGATATAACCTTAACATGAGGCTTTTTTACTTTGCAAAGTTAAAAGTTTCTGAAGAAGGAACTAATGCACTGAAATGTAAATTAAATTAATAAGTATGTGCTACATAAAAATGTAAATGTATTACACATGTACAAAAAAAAGGAAAGTGAATTTTATAAGAATATCACTAATTTCATAAACGTTTAAAACTATGGGTTCTTTTAATTAGTATCAATGGTGTCTTAGAAACACTTTAATTCACAAAACTGCATTTTCTGCACATGGATTTTTAGAAACAAACAGAATTTGTAAATCAAGAAATATTTTAATGCTAAGTTTCAGGTTTAATTTACCTATAAAGAAACATTCAAATAATCTTATGCAATGAAAATGTAAATATCTATAGTTAGAACAAATTAGTATTATTCATTTCTCATTATGTTATTCTCTCTTATAAAATAAAAACTCATTAAATTCCTCCAAAAGAAATTTGCATTTAATAATACAATCATTAAATGTAAAAAATTTACATAGGCATATGACTAATTCCAACTTGCAACCTCATTGGTTTTGGGTTTCTTAATCAAATAATTTCAAATTATTTAATTTCTTATGATTATATGCAGTAGCCTGAATAAAATTTAAATTCAGAAAAGCAAATTATTGACAAAAAAGATACCTCCCCCAAAAGTAATTTTAATATAGTAAATCATTAACCAAACAATTTAACTGAAATGGGAAATAAAAGAAATTAAGTAACAAAATAAAGCAACTCTAAATTTCTCAAATCCCAGAATGGTTAATTTAAGAATGGTAACAATTTAAAACAAAATATCTGGAAATGAACATACGTCCATATTACATTTAATCCAACCAATTAAATAATGTCATATTAGAACACCTGTAATCTAATTTCTTGATGTGTGGTAACCACATATACATATGGACGTGAATGCAGCCTCCCCAGGTTGGAGGGAGTGGCAAAAGAACATCGCAGTATGTATCTACCCACTTGGTTCATCACTTCAACCAAGCAAGCATCCATGAACACCCTCGCTTGGAATGAGTTCTAATAAATGCAGTATTTCTGCAAATCACAATTCCAAACCAAAGATTCTTTCAAAAGAAGAAAGATTATGTGCTTACCGTATACAGCTCGTTAAGAACTTTCATTAAATCCTCATGAAGTTGAAATGCAATCTCTTTGCTCTGTAATTAAGAAGAAATTAAGAAAGAATATTTAAAAATGTAATAGAAACTTGTTTCTAAAGTTATTTGCATCTTAAATCCACTAACTAAAAATAGAAGAATGTAACATGTAACACAACAGAAGGCCAGCATGCCCTAATCTTTGATCAAAAGGCCCTTTCTAAACACTGGGTATTTGCACCAATGGCCACCACAGGCTGGACAGAGGCAAAAAAGTGTCTAAATGGCTCTCTCAACATCCAAATCAGATTTTGTCAAGAAGAGAGAGAAAAGGTAAGCAGGGTGAAATATTATGCTTGCTTAGAAGTTGAGATGCAGAACTAAAGTCATCAAAAGATGCATTCTTGCACCCTGTCTCCCGTTTTGGTATTGTCGCAAAGGAGTTTTGCAAGTGTGATTCTCAAAAAGCTCAGTTAGAACCCAAAAGGGAAATTAATTCTCATTTTTCAAAATAACTATTTGACTGGCTACAATTTTACAAAAGCACTTCCAAAGCAATGAGGTCGTAAGGCCACTTACAGTCCACATAGTTACACCTCGGTGTTTATTATAATTATTTTCTTTTTTAAAAGAAGATTTTATTTTATTTTCAGAGAAGGGAAGGGAGGGAGAAAGACAGGGAGAAAAACATCAATGTGTGGTTGCATCTCCTGCACCCTTTACTGGGGACCTGGCCTGCGACGCAGGCATGTGCCCTATACTGGGAATCGAACCGGCAACCCTTTGGTTTGCAGGCTGGCGCTCAATTCACTTGAGCCACACCTGCCAGATGAATACTTTTTTTCAGCCAAATGGTAAATAATTGTAAAGAAAATCATATATCCAAGATTTTTTGTTTTGTTTTGGGTTCATTATGTAAGTCAGTTAGAGATTGGAAAAAATGTGCAAAGTGCCTTAATTTACAGCTTGAGACATTAACAAGAACGTCCACTGGTTTATTTAGGTTTTTGCCACTGGACTATCAGTATTAGGGGTAAGGGTTATATCTTTATCAGCTCTGTGACCCTGGTGTCCTTCACCATGCCTGGGCACAAGGCCAGGATGAGGATGAGGCAAGTGAGGCATGTGGGGTATGGAATTTAAGAAGGCACTCTCCTTCACCCTAGTCCAGGGCATGCTTGGGCACGTAGGAAGCTTCCAATAAACACTTGCTAGGCGAACCTGTAAACGAGCTGAAACACTGTGTTTGTGTAAGAGCTGACGTAGTTACTATATCTGCTGAAAGCTGGCCCCTGGTGAGAAGGCAGAAAGAAAGGGCCCAAAGACCACTCCTAAGAAAACATTGGGGCTGCGATGAAACAGTCCAGCTGTGAACACAAGGCCATTGGGTCAGGCCTCCCTCCAAAAAGGCCGCATGTGATGAAGCGAAAATTCGTGTTAGATAACAGAGGGGGGGGAAGATGACATCAGAGCACTACCTGAACTTTGAGAAATTCAAATTTGTTCATAAGGGATGCTGTCATTTATCAAGCTCCAAAAGCTTCTAAAATCTCTAAATTGAAGTTACAGATTTTATGTTTGCTCTGTCCCTGATATGTGAAGAGGTAGGCTAAAAATCACTCAAGAGTGAAAGGAAAGTCACAAATGAGCAAATGAAGCCAAATGAAACTCATTTTATTTTCCCTAAATCTTGGTTATTCTGACCGTATATATTACACTACAGTCTCCTATGACTTAAGCTTGGTGTTATTTTAACATCAGATTTCATTCAAGGATCCAGGCCACCAATTCAGAACTCTCTAATGGGATCAAAGGCCAGCAAGTAACTGCTCAGCTGCCCATATTTCAGGTAGCAAATCCAAAAAGAAAATATTTCTTGGCTAGGACTTTAGAGCAAAAACAAAAACAAAACCCCCTTAGGTCCAATTAGCCCCAAGCCAAAAATATTTAGGATCAGATTAAAGACAGGTTTGGGTGAGAAGGGCACTCCAAGCTATCCTAGGTCAAATACCTTAGAACAAACCAGAGGATTCTTTGTATATTTCAGATTTTACAAAAATTCAGGTAATGAAGTAGAAGGAATTCATCACAGACAAACTGTTCTGCCAAGCATACTCTTATACTTCGCTTTCACCTTTCCCCAGAGGTCTTGAAATATGAAAAATTTGTCTGGGAGGCAATATAGCATGATGCTTAACAGGTCTCTGGAGTCAGAATGCCTGGGTCTGAAGCCTCAAAGACTTTGGATTCCCTTGGACCTCAGTTTCCAGATCTATCAAATGGACACAGTCCTCATACCTATCTCACAGGGTCGATGAGAGCGTTAAACAGATGAAACACTCACACAGCACTCAGAATGGTGCCTACACACAGTAAACATCCCATAAATGTTATAATTACTTATTTTGTCCTCAGACACATTATAATGGCAACACCCTTGAGTGAGAAGGCCACATTGTATTTTTTTTTTTTTTTTTTTTTTTTTTGGCCTCTGAACACTTAATTCCATTGACTTCCCCACAGAAGTAAGTGCTCGGCAGATACGGGTTGATTTGGTTTTGATGTCCCTCTCAGTTGCTCTCGCCTTTAGATCTCCCTCCAAGTGACTCCTGATTTGGAAGGGCCCCGTGTATTGAGCTCCAGCCCTTGGGCATTTCTTACACCCCTGCTTCCTTGCCACACATACACTGAATTTACTTTTCTATATTCCATTTTCGTGGGGGTCCTACTACTGCTGGTACTGGATGAATTAATCCATCACCCACTACAAAATGGATAAACCGAGAGCCGAATACCAAGCCTATTTCTAATTGCTCTATTTATTGTCATTTTTGTGTTTCAGATTCCTCAAGCCAGCTTGATAATATATATATACAACTCATGAAAGAAACCCTTAAGGAGCCAAGCCCCAGTGGGAATTTTTGATTTCGGTGCAAAGTCGGTGAGGAGCTGCCCTCAGGCAGGCCCTCCAGCTATCTTCATGACTCATCACCAAAGTTCCTGCCTATCTGTTAGCTTGGAATCACAATCCAAACCCTCCAGGGTGCAGTAAATAACTTTGAAATTAACCTTGCCTTCCCACCACCAGTCCTCTAGTCTGCAAAAGTGGTTCAAGAACTGGACTGTGTCCTGAAGCACTCCTTCCTGTGACTTCAAGTGTGAAATATGAACCCACACACCCTTGCACTCACGGACACTTGGGCTGGACACTGCACCACCCCAGTCCTGGTCCCTGTCCTCGTGGCACAGAAACAATGAAAGGATCACCTCAGGCTGTCCCCCGCCCCCAACTTTAAGCATGTATCTAATTTATTACTGTAACAGTGAAAAACAATCCTTCTCCTAAATGCTACTCTACACCCCCCAAAAGAAGCAATCTTAAACCAAAACACACCTGCTGAGGCACCCAGGACGCTGGCACACTAAACTAATGGACTGAAACACTCCTTAGGAAATATCTGGATTATCAAAAATCCATCAAAATTCAATAGGTTAAATATGCCTCTGGATTCTATTTCATTACAATTTGAAAACAGTGACCTTTGAACAAGAACTGCAAAGTAAGAAAAATGATACTGGCATGAAGGAAAGCAATCAATGTTCTCTTTGTAGAAAAGAAAAAAGTAACTATGAAAGGATATATGTTTGAAATAAAGTATTTTCTATGTTACTTGAGATTGGCTGATTAAATTTACTTTTGCACAGAAAGGAGATTCCCTTCAACGGCTTCAGATATGGGGTTGAAAAAAAGGAAGAGTCCTCCCTCTCTCTATTAACATAAGCCTTGTTCAAATTATGGTAAAACTTCTAATCCATTTCAGTAGGATTCTGGGATTCTGACCCAAAAGGAAAAAATCATGATCAGAACTTCCATTCAGTTGACATTTATTGAATATCTCCAATGTGCAAACCCAGAGTTGAATACAAGCCTATTTCTAATTGTTTACCACTTACTGTCACTTTGATATTTCAGATACCACAAACATAAGTGCAAAATTAATAGTACCAAAGTTTTTATCTTTTTCTATGATAAAAATGAATTAAGTATACTGAACAATATTGGAAAAACAGAGACTAGAAGGACAAAACCACCACCATTATGATTTGATGTATTTCTTTCATTTCTTATTTAAATATAGGCATGAGTTGTAATCATTTTATAATAATAAAGTATCTTTTTCTTCTCTTTTCTTTCAGTTGCCATAAAATTTTCCAAGTATTTAATTTTCAGAACAATCATTATAATTGAATTCATCATAACCACCCAGCGAATGTATATTAACTATTCTTCTATTATGGTTTCCCAAAGTCCTACTCTTTCCCACTAATCATTCAATTATTTACTTATTCATTCAATTTCACCAATATGTTTTAACAGTCTGAACTATTATCACAAATGCTGGTCTAAAGGCTTATCTTTCATTTTGTGTTGTTTCCTTAATACAAATCCCCAGACATGAAATTACTAGGATAAACAGATTAACATTTTGAGGCCTTTAATACATACTATAAAGGTTTTTAAAGGGTTATAGTAAATTTATATTGCTGCCAGGACAACAGTGTCACTGAAATCATCACCTGGGGCTCACCCAAGGCTTGCTGCTGCTTCTTGAAGAAGCCACCAATCCTATCCATTATGGTTCATCCGTTTTCCTATGTCATTAGAATTTTAAAAATAAATAAAAAAAAATCTAATTACGTCCTTCCTTTTGTGAAAACCCATCAAACACTTGCTATATTTTTTCTGAATAGAGTCCAATTTTTTTTTTCACTCACCCATAATTTCCCCTGTCTAACTACTCCATCTTACATTCCACAAATCTCTGACCACACCCTTCTGTCTGGCCATAAACTGCTAGCCTGCAGGTCTCTGTGCCTTTCCCAAGTTGTCCCCTTTGCCTGGACTCTCCTTCCTTCTTTTGCCTGGTACAATCTTACATATTACTCTGTGAAAACTTTCTTGTAACTTTGCCTTGAGCCCCAAATAAAAAAAAATTATACCCTACCTTCTCTGTGATTGTATAGTGTATTATCCATTTATCACCACTCCAAGGCTATAT